TGTAGCCTAGGCGCAGGTCTGCTCAGCCCAGAAAGAGGAAAGTTGGGTGCTTCGCGCCTCAACTTTTCAGGGCCCGAGCCACGGCCCCAGGCAAGGAGAGAGCGCGCCCCTACATCCGATGGAGAGCCTGGCAGTGGTCACTCTTCCTGCACTTTGCGTTGGGAGTCTGCAGGCTGGCTGTTTCTTGCCCATGACCAGAGGAAAAACTTCCTTCCAAGCCCTGGATCTTGACCCTAATTTGCCCTGATACCTATCACCTTTCATTCACTCCTTCATTGTATCCAAACCTGGTGCTGTTAAAGGGGGAACTGAGTTCTCAAAACCCCCCCACCCCACCCCCCCCAGAGCTTATGGGCCCCTTGCTCTCTGGACACCCCCTTTCTGCCACCTCCGTGCTGTGTGAGGCAAAAAAAATCTGTCGAGGTAGCTATGGGAGACACATGTGAGAGCCCATCAGAGTTGTTATTATTATCTTCTGAAGCATGAAGGGTTAGGATTATTTTATGTTGTTGGTTGACACCTAATAATTAGCTAGTAACATCGCCATCACCACCACCACCACTCCCCGCCCAATGTAAACCTTTCCATATAACTGTGAGACAGGCCCTATTCTCCTCGCCCTAGTAACACATCGCACACCTGCGGCTCAGAGAGGCTCTCTGACTCGTTCAAGATCACACAGGTAGTAGTGATGGATCCTAGAGCTCATGGCTCCCATTTCCAAATCTTGTGCTGTTTCTACTCCATGTAATAACTATAGAAGGAAGAGGAGTCTGGTCCCCCTATTTCTTAATTGTCTTCCCTTTAAAACCTGGTGTGTGTGTGTGTGTGTGTGTAAGGTGTGATGGTGAAAATATTGAGTGTTGTGTAGAGGGCTGTGAACTTCAGTGCGTACTATTTGGCACGGTTTGTACAGGACCCGGTGTGCGCCCATGGGCGGCTTATGTGCCGATGTGGGAGGATAATGGAACATTTGTCCCTTGCTTGCAGAGCACAAAGCACTTTCACATGTCAGCCCTTGGTGGGCCAGCTTGGCCTCACTGGAAATTTCCCCTGCCATCAGAGTGCCGGGTGTCCTTAAAAGCTTTTAATCCAGGGCATGTTTCCCAAGCCCGGAGTTTGCAGCTGCTGGGGCTGGGGCTGGGGCCAGGGTTGGAGCTGCAGATGTGAAGCTTGCTGGCTCTTGGAGCTTTAAGTGGGAATTTTGCAAAGAAAAGCACCAGAGAGATGCGGAGACATGTAGGGCAGGGTGATTGGACTTTGTTCCCCTGAGGCTGACCTGTTGTTGTTATTATATAACAAGCATACAGAGTTTATCTTTGAACAAACTTCATGAAGATTTGTTTTCTTTAATCCTTCATCCGGGAGGGGTAAAGGGAGATCTGCTTGGACTGGTTTTCATTTTGATAGGTAAAATCAGTTACCTATCTACTTTCTTCTTCTTCTCCTCTTCTACCTCCTCCTCCTCTTTTTCTCTTCTTCCTCCTCCTCCTCTTCCTCTTCTTTTCTTCGAGTTCTGCCCTTTATAAAGAGAATACAGAGTTGCTCTGTACTTCTTGAAACAGAACAACTGGCTTCGGGTCTGATGCAGAGAAGAGAGAAGAGAGGATTGGGATTTGCCGGATAGGTTTTCAGACCAGTTGAAGTTGAAACCCTGATGCTGTGGGCTTATAAGGTGCTTCCTGGGGTGGGAGGGGGGGGGGTGAGCTTGTTTTTCTGAGTCTTGTTTTGAACACCTCTCATCCTGTCTCCAGACAGGGCCCCTGCTCTAGCAATAACAGGCGTGCCAAGAGCGGGGATGTGTGTGTGCGTGTGTGTGTTTTGACTATGGCCTGGGTTTCTTCGCAGCCCTGACTATCTGAGATCGTCCAAGATGACTGAAGTGATGATGAGCACCCCATCCATGGAAGAGATTGGACTCAGCCCCCGAAAGGATGGCCTTTCCTACCAGGTGAGTTGAGTCTTGAGAAACACCCCCCGCTGGTTCTTGAGAGGGCGCTGGCTTCTGCCCTCTCCAGGGCTGGAGGCAGCAGGAGCCTGTGCCAGTTGTCAGGACTTTGTGACCTCAGGAAAGTCGGTGAGTGCTAGCAAGCCTCAGTTTCCTTACCTGTAAAATGGGAGCAGCCCTGGTCTGTCTGTCCCTCCTTGGTTTGTGGCGAAGCGTCAACAAGATGTGACAAGGCATTCAGAGTCCCTTCCTGGAGTCAGTTCGTGTCCCATAAACGCTAGCTGTTTATCAATGAGGCACCATGGCTGCTGTGAATCACCCTGCCTGTTCTGGGGGAGGAAATGAATTACACGGGTAGCTTGGACCAGAGCTTCCCTTTCCGGCTACATACACCTTGGGCAGAACAAATATTGCCGTGAGGGACAGCCTATGGGCAAGGGTGGTCTGTTAGAGAAATGGCCGTGCCAAACACTGTTTTTTCTCTTCAGGCCAACCGTTGACCATTGCATTTCAGAGTTCAGGTTCAAACTACGTAAGAGTTGAAGGGCTGTGCTCCCAGCAGCGTTGCTCTCTTGGGATGGTAGGGAGCCATTGCTGGCCTCCAGCTCAGAGACCGTCCTGTCTGGCGAGTCCAGAATGCTACTGACCCAAAGACAGCCATGCATGAATGCAGTAGCACCTGGTGGGGGGGTGAGGGGGTGGGAGGGGGGAGGCTTTATTCTAGCTTCTCCTGGCCTTTGCATGCCACTTTCCCACCCTGCCACCGGGCCCTAGGGCGACATAAGCACCTCCTCCCTGCTTGCCGTGGATGGTGAGTGGTTTGGCTAGGAAAGTCCCCAGGTGGCTGTGAAGTCTGCGAGAGGGCTGAGCTTCATCAGGGAACTCTTATAGGGAGGCTGGCTTCTGTGTCGATTACTGGGGCTGGGCTGGGTCCTCTCGGCAGTTATCCGTTGAATGCCCATTGTGTGCCAAGCATCTGTCAAGGGTGAGCTCATGATCCAGTGGGAATTCTTGTCTCGCTGCACCCATGAAGAAAGAGGCCTGGGCCGAGTCGGAGATTCCCGTCTCCTCAACTCCCAACACGTGGCCTTAGGGTATATGGTGGGGGGGGGCAGGGGTGTCCTGTAACTTGAGGCTACTCTGACTACTCAGCTTTCCTTAGAATAGGTTCAGGGGCATTTGTTTTTTAGCAAACGAAACAGGTTGGAAGCCTACTGAGTGGGGTAAGGTGTGCTGGAGGCCAAGGTGGTAGCTGGGGTGGGGCAGGGGTGGGGGGTGTTTCAAAAGGGCAGAGATGAAGGCTCGGGGGTGTAACATAAACATGGCGGGGTGGTGGGAGCTTCTGCTACTAGGGAAGCTCAATAAGGTTCCTCTGCTTCGTGTCGGTATAGGTGGGTCGCTTTTGCTGCTTGGACCTGAGTCTTCATTCAGTTAGCTTGAAAGGGCTGTCTGGGTGAAAGAAGCCTTCTTTCCTGGGTTGGATTTATGCCTTCAGCCCCAGAGTGGGTCTGAGGCAGACAACGGAGGGCCCCACAGCCTGGTGGGAGGGGTAGATGTTCCCTGGCCCTCCGGCTGGGGTGTTTTTGGATACCAGTTTACAAGCCACTGAGTCAGACGGCACCTCTCTGTGGTTTCAGGTGAGGCTTTCTTTCAGTTCTGGGTTTCAGATTTCCATTGCAGAACCTTTCCAGATGTCTTCCGCCAGCCTTTTGTGTTCCCCATTCAAACATGCTCCAGGATAACAGGCCAGAGCCTGCAGGACCGTTTTCTTGACTTGTCCAGCCCGCTGGCTGGGTCTGAGGGGTAAGACAGGGTCCCAGGGTGGAGGGACCACAGCCCTGGATCAAAACGGCTGCCCTGGGGCTGAATGGCGGTAGCCAAAACACAACCACCGGGGGCTTCTGAGATGGCTCTGTGCTGCCTGAGGAGTGGACCTTTAAATTGTCACTTGTGGTGTTGACCTGTGGTCCCTTATGGATCTCACCAATTCCTTGGGAAATCTGCTCCCTGGGGCAGGGGCCTGGGGTTACCACCCAGAGAGTTCCAAAACACCTTCCTTGGAACGTCAAAGGACTGCTGTTTGGTGATGGTCCCAGGAAGGCCTCTTGGCTGCCTGGTGAAGAGCAAAGGAGAGGTGGTCATTTTTAACCAAGCGACATCGGTCGGGTGCTTATGGTGTGCATGGCACTTTGCTAGGTGCTGCAGGGTGGGCCCAGGGCTACGGTGGGAAAGGGGCATGACCTAAACAACTGTAACCCAAGGCAGCCAGGTAGAACGACACTAAAGCCACCATCCGCCCAGGGATGGGATGGCAGTGCTGACATGTGACGGATGGAATTGGAGAAGGCTTGGAAGAGGCAGGTCAGCCTGGGGCCTTGAAAAAGCAGGAAGCCTTTGAGAGGCCACCTCCCTCTCTCATGGAATCCAGTCACACCTCAAGAGAGACACCTTGGTGCCCTCTGTTGATGCCAGTCCATGGGGGTCTGACAGCCGGGGGTCTGGTGGGCCCACTCAAAGGGTGATTCAATAGATTCCCACCAGAGCTGTTGGGATTGGCTAGGGCTAGCAATGGGTGGCCAGCCACCTGACCTGTGTGCTCAGGCTCCGCCTCAGAGCTGGGGTGGCGTGATGGGGGGGTGGGGGCTTGCTAGCTCTGTTCTTGGCACTCCTGGGGAGGATAATACAAGTATGTGGCTTTTACTGAGACCTGCTTTTCCAAAGAACTGAACATGGGAAGGAGACATCCATTCCTGACTTGGCAGATGAAAGAGAATCTCAGACTTGTGATTGACCTTGAAACAAGGTCATAAAAATCAATAGGCATCTTGGGCTTTGTCAACCACCCCCAACCTTCCAGACCCACCAAGAATGAAGTGCCCCTGACTTCTCGGCACCAGGTATGCCCCTTTCTCCTCTCAATACCTATGTTACTTTGTATTTTCAACTGTTGCTGCCCTGGGCTTTAGGGGCTCCCCAGCCTGCCTTCATGGGTTTCAGAGACGGGAAATCTCCATGGGTGTGAAAAGCCTCCTCTTTCTCCTGTGGAATGTCTGGTGGTTTCAAACTCCAGACCTTGGCCATTAGCAGGCCAAAGCGTGCTCATTGCCCCCACGGCGCTTTGTGACTGGCCGTTTCTTTGAATTTGAGCCGTCTGACTCCACAGCTGGCCACGTCCACTTCTGTCTCAGATGCTGTAAAGGGCATCCTCCTCGGGCGTGTGTCTAAGACAGTGGTTCTCAACCTTCCTGATGCCGTGACCCTTTCATACAGTTCCTCATGCGGTGGTGACCCACAACCGTAACATTATTTTCATTGCTACTTCATCGCTGTCATTTCGCTACTGTTAAGAAGCGTCATGTAAATATATGATGTGCAGGATGAACTTTCACTGTTACAAATTGAACATAATTAAAGCATAGTGATGCACCACAAAAACAATATGTAATTATAGATTGTGAGATATTTATGTGTTTCCGGATGGTCTTCGGAGACCCCAGTGAAAGGGTCGTTCGATCCCCAAAGGGGTCGCAACCCACAGGTTGAGAGTTGCTGGTTTAGAGAGTACATTCAGTCAGTGAAATCCCCGTTCCTTTGGCATGAATGACTACAGCCCCCGGGGTCGGGGTGGGGGTCAGGGAGTAATCTGTTACTAGAAAGCCTGTGTGCTTCGTGGTGGCTGTGGAAGGCAGCTTGCCAGTGAGCCAGAGGTCTGGGGGGTGTCTTGATGGCTGGGGCTCCCTCTTCACACTGTGTCTGGGGGACTTCGGTTCTCTGGCCAGTGGGGCCAGGTATGTCAACTGCCCCATGCTGTCCTCCTTTCCAAGTCAGCCGTTGCCTCAGGCGCCTGCCCCTTTGCCGGCGACAGAGATTCAAAGATGGTGGCATTATGGTGTGCTGCTCTGCCTGCCTTTCCTCCGGAGCTTCGTGCAAACTGGCCTGGGCTCTGTGTGAGCAGAGGTCCTGGGCCTTCGTCTGTGGGCACGTGTGCTGCCATGCCCCAGAGGATCCTGGGATTCTGACCTTGCTTCTGAACATCTCCCAGCACAGCACGCCCAGGGGTTATCCCACAGCCTGATGGTCCTTGCTGAAGCATAGGTCTAGGAAAACTTCCGGGTTTGGTGTTAAGGAAGGGAGATTTAGAAAAGGTCCCAGGGATTGCAGTCAGCGAGCTGAAGCAAAAAGTGTATGAATTGTTGAATGGGAAACTCATCTGCTTTGTAAATCTTTCCCCAATTCACAATAAAATAACAACGACAGGATTAATGGCCTCTTTTTATAGCCTCTGGACCCATACCGGACAGCTTTATCCTTCTCTAAACTCACTGCCTTTGAGACAATGCCAATTCCTAAGAGACCCTATGGCACAGAGACCGGCTCCAGAGGGTTTCCAAGATAGGAAGTCTTGTCCGAAGCAGCAGACAGCCCCATCTTCCTCCCGTGGAGGGGCTGCTGGGATCGAACCACCTACCTTTCAGTTCGTGAGCCAATCCTTCGCCCACCAGGGCTCTTGTACCCTTCCCCAGCTTCTTTCTGTTCCCCTCGGATCATGGCACACGAGATTTCTTCCTCCCCGTATTCTTGGCCTGCACTCCCAACACCTGACAGCCGGCCTCCAGGCTGGCGAGCCCTGGGCGCTCCTTCTCAGGGAGGCTTAGGAGGCAGAAGGAGGACTTTCTTCATCCCCCAAGCGGCCAGCCCTGTCCCTTGTCCTTTCCCCTTGATCTGCATGATGAAGAGCCCCACTGCATCTTCCTCTTTGGTTCTCAAAGCAGGAGGGAAGCGACCGGTGGCCCTCGGTCTTGCAGAGAGCAGGGACAGTGGTGGACTGACCTTTTCTTGCCCAGGCCTACCCGCTGGCTTCCTGCAGTTGGAGAACAGTTGCCTTGGAAAGGAGTGGGTTAAAAGACTCCTGGCCGAGAACTTGCCTATCACTGGACAGGGCCTCTGTCTGTTTCTCCTCTCTGAGAGGCCCAGCCCTAGCCAGCTCCTCCCTCTCTCCTTCCCCAGGCCCCCACAGGCCAC